TTTTAAAAGGAGTTAAGAGTCCCTGGTGTCATTTTCTACAGTCTTGGGGTGTCATTGCCACTTCAGGGCACCCACAGAGCACATCTGCTCAGAATTTTGGCCTAAGAATGTGCAAGAGGAAAGAGAAACTTCAGCAAGGAGCCAAGTCCAGGGGAAATTTGTTCTTAAGGCCGTGGCATCAGTGTACCTGAGGATGGGGATGTGCCTCTGCTCTGATCCAGTGAGTCTGTCTTGTTTAGGGAGGTGTAACGGAACATGGCTCCTTCAACAAGACCCAGAAACAATTTTTGGGAAGACTGCATATGGGAGGACTGGATAAAAGAGGATGGGTTATAAATAGATATCTCCTGACCAGATGAAGAGGTGGACCGTTTTCTGCCACATTTTCCCACCTCTAGCAGTATTTCACCCTGAACCTAAAGCATCTCCAACAGTGGTGGGGATGGCTTGTGATTACAACACTTCAAGGTATGCAGCTAAAGGCTCGGGACTTCTCGAGACACGCTGCTCCTTGCTTTTCTCGGAAAGAGTTCTCACAGCAAGAAAGCAACGCAGGCAAACAAAGCCACACAGCAAAATGACAAGCAGCAGCTGGAACACGTGGGCAGCCCACAGAGTGACAGGGCAGTTGGGCTCCTTGCTTCTCTGCTGCTGTTTTGGAAACCTCAGTAAACAGAAGAGCCCAGATCAATCTCAGTGCTCCGGCACAAACTCTGTACAGCCCCATTGACTTTAGTGGCAAAACCTGAGATACATGTTCCTTCCTATGCATCATGCACAAGCTAGTCTAAAAAAGCTGCTGAAAACACCGTTAGCTGCCCACTAGTTAGCAGGTCTCAGCTTGTTGCAGGGAGGAATTTGTGCTCATTTGTGTCACGAAGAATATGAGCGTTTAATGTCTGTGGGGGAGCTTTAGCAGCTGGAAAAAAGAAAGTATGTATGTTTATATTTTGAAAAAAGGGATTGTTTTTGCCGCTCTCAATTATTAATGTCTCTCAGGTCAGGCTAAGGAACAACGCCAGGGATAAGTTACCCCGTGTACTATTCAGATATGCTCTCCCCAACTGTTTCCTTCTCAGCTAGAGGATTCACCTCGCAATGAACTCCTTAACGGTTGGAAAAAAGACCGACGGAGGCTGAACTCGCTGTGCCCGTTTATTTATGCAGAAACAGCTTTTCAACTTCGTCAGGTGTGTTTAATCAAAAAGAAGCAGGAAATGCGTTATGATTATAAACACATATTAGTGCACAAGCAAAAGGCCGCCCTTGGAAAGGATTGCACTGTTTGAGAAATGGTTACAGTGAAAAAGCACAGGCTTAACCTATGGAGCTCTTTGCTAAGATCAAAGCGGTGCTGCCTACTGCCATGAGCTGTCTGGGTGGTGGGGTTCAGCTGTGGGCTTCCAGTGGGGGAAATGGAAGAAGGTTAAAAAGAAAGTGTTATCATCTTTCTTTTTTCTTTTGCCTAAAACATTTTCCCTAGTCTAAAAAAATGACTCAAACGTTAAATATTTGCTGTTAAAATTAATAGAATTAGTGAAGATTCCAGCTGAGAACACAGTAATTAGGGCCTGGTCCAAAGCCCATGGAGAAACTCATTGTTTTCAACAGGGTCTGGCTCAGGGCCCTGGTGAGACAAAGCGAAGATGGAGTTAAGGCACAGCCCTGAGACAGCTTGGATTCCCCACAGACTTTCCATGTGACTGTGCCCAAACTTGCACACGTTCCTTAGTCCTGAGCACAACCAACCTCAAGCTGCTGCAAAAAGCAAATATCCTGCTGGGCTGCGTGGCTGGGTGTACTGTGGGTAAGATGCAGGAGGGATTCAATGCACTTCTTTGGCACCATAATGCTGTGCTTAAAATAAAAAATAAAAAAAATAATACAGACAAATTGGAAATTGCCCAAGGGAGAGGAACAGAAATGATAGGAGGTCCAGAAACATTACTTATGAGGCAAGATTGAAGGGGCTGGGTTTGTTTAGTCTACAGAATTCAAAGTGCTAAAAAACTTTAAAAATGTAAAGAATGATGTGACACCACAAAGGGTAATCAATTGCCCCTTAACTATGTGGGGATAGCTGAATGTACAGCAAAAAAGTTTTAGGTTGTTGAACGCTGAGAGGTTACTAAAGCACTCTAGTGTGTACACTGGGGAGGGAGCAAAGTGTCTCTCATGGGAGATTTTCAATGTGCTGGACATGTACGTGTGATGAGGGATTGGGTAACTTGCTGTCACAAAGAGCAGCCTGTTTTCAGACTCAGTCCTACAGTTTCCGTGACTTAGTGACTGTTATGGGACACTCAGATATGAGACTTTGGAAGTGATGAGTCTTCACAGCCCTCCTTGATTCGGGAAAATCCAGCAGCTGCTCTGCCCTCAGAATCAAGTATCCTTTCTGCAAACCCTCATTTCTTTGGTCTCCACAGTTACTAAATAAAGAGCAATACCCACATCTGCATGGAGCCACAAACATATTCGTGAAGTATCTTGCTTCCATCCAATAAGGGATTCCCATTGAATCGAACACTTGAATGCTCACATATCAGGATGATGAGGCCTCTGTAAAAGCACATGATGATTCAGAAAGTGTAGGGGGTAGTGGTGGCCCTGCAGACTAGGTTCAGAGAAGTCTCCTCCTGACACTGGAGGAGGGGTTGCGTTGCTGACTCCTGCTAGAAGAGCTTTCACACGTATCACCACTAAGCACAGCTGCAAAGCACTTGGGAGGGTAAATAGATATTGCTCTGAGTGGATCAGGTGGTGGCCAGAGTCTGAGCAGACAAGCAGCATCCCTTCTCCTTTTAGCTCCGGCCCTGAGGCAATAGAGCCCTGCCCTGAAAGAACGGAGGGTGATGTGAGCCTCCTTAAAGGCCAGGGGAAGAATGCTGTGCTCAGCACTGCTGTGACTGTTCCTTTTCTTTGCACTCCGTTTCCTGCCCAGTGTCAGTTATGAGAGGTACTATTTGGTCCTTGTGTGAATACTGAGAAAATTGTTAGTTATATGATATGGGAATTAAGAAAATCTGTCTGCTTCCAAGCATAAACCAATGACTGTGACAACGATTTGCAAACACAGGGTTATGACCCCAAGTTGGCTTTTTTTTTCCCCTCGGTTCTGGGTACAGTCACGAGCCTGGCAGTAATCCGTGTAAGCTACAATGTGTGGCAATGACTGGCGTCTCCCAGAGTCTTTGAGCTGAGTGGGATCACAACAGGAAAAAGTTTGGGAAAGTGCCACTGAGAGTTTAGGAATAAACAACTCCCATGGGCAGGCTGTCCATAATTGGCCATGACAAGGCTTCTTTCTCCAGAGAGCCAGAGCTGGCCTGTGAGGAAACAGAATGAATCACTGCTCTGGTCCAATTTGGCAAGTGCTGTGATTTAGCCCTGCTTTGCACGGGAGGAGATGATGATACAGACTGAAAGGCAGGAGAACTGTAGCCAGCGGCTTCTGAGCGGGGGGATGAGTTTGGGTTCCCACCTATTTCTTGTTGGTTTACTCAGCTCCTTAGAAGGAAACCCAGGCAAAAACCACTGATACAAAAACAGTTCCCTTTATCAACAATGTAGAGGAGACAATGGGGACTCCTCAACACAAAGCTCATACAAACAAAAATAAACATTTTATTTTGCATTGTTAAAATAGCATTCAATATGCAAGTCCTCCTTCCAACCTCCAGCTTTGTTAACTATTTCTGTTGACTTTCTGCTTCTGGTTACAGATTTACAAGAGGATATCATAGAGGTTGGAACTAGTGTCCTGCAAGATGGTGATGACCATGTGGCTGTGCAGCCTTCTGTGAAGAGGATGGTAGAGTGTGGTTTCCTCAAGCCACCCTGTGCCCTTGGAAAAGTCCCACTTTCTTCTGAATATGAGGAAAATGGTGTGTATTTTATGCTATTCTTTTTCTAGATGGTGGTCACCAGAGCAATCTTAAAAGCTCCTTGTTATCTCAACAATCTTACCAAGCCTAATAATCAGTTCACAGCCTGTTCAGTATCTGATGATTAATCCCCTCCCATAAAAATACTGGCAGAACCCCATAAAAATATTGGTGGAGCCAGAGCTCCTCTGCCAAGTGGCAGACTTAGATTTGCTCTTCTTGGAAAGCTGGTTTCCTGTCACTGGGATTGTCTCATCACTGCTTTCCAGTGGTTTGGAAAGAGGTGAAAGGGAAAAAAATGTTCCACCCAAATACATCATCTCTTTTACATCTCCTTTCCTCCATCTGCTCTTTTGTTATTTCTAATTTCAGGAATACCATCAGCTGAAGATCTTCCTAACCAACCCTACTTCTATCCTCAGTGCAAAGGAAAAAGGAAGCTTCCTTCAAAGCAAAATCCTTCCAAAAAGAAGCTGCAGATAATCTTTATTTCCATTACCCTTCTGCTCCTTCGAAGAGCAGGCAATTGAAACAAAAATCTTCACTGCAACATGAAAGAGAGGTAGCTCAAGAAAATCAAATCTGCATCTTGTAATGTAAGCATTTAGATCAAAGCATCAGCCTTTTAGTATTTTTTATATCAGTTTTCTATTGATATTAGAAACATTAAAAGTGTCAGTCTCATAAGATGTTTACTGCTAATGCAGACAGATGCTTCTAGGTTGGCTACACATTCAGAGCTTGGGGCTTCCTATTCCTAATGTTGCTGCCACTGGAAATAGAAAACTTGGTCGACTCGAAGCAGTATGGGCCATGACATGCAGCTGAATAGTTCTGCTTCTTTGCACGCTAAGTGCAAAGTACCAGCACTCCTATCTGCCTTTCATTTCAAAGTCTTCACAAGGCTGAATCCTGCACCAGGTTCCTACCCAGTAATTTTTCCTGCTTTCTCTTGAGATTCTGGATAATGCCTGAAGGCAGGACTTCAGCAGTGCCACATGCAGTATTGGTCAGATGAATATGGCATGAGCATGAAGATCATGATCTTTCTGGCAGAGTAATTGGGGAATGACCAACCCCACTAGGACCTTCAAGAACAAGAGTTGTTGGGACTACAGGACGATTCTCTGTGCTCTATGCAGAGCAAGGAGGAGGAAAACAACAAACACCTGGGAAGTACCAAATGTAATTCAGAGAAGGTTAGAACAGGGTACACACTGGAGTGTAAGGCATCCATGGTCAAAGAGTTTGTGTGGCAGTTTTCCCTTTGGTGTCCATGTGTCAGTCTCTGGGTCATAGCAGTCCAAAGAATCTGAGTCTTCAATGACATTGTCCACAGTGAGACATCGTCCTCCTGTAACATACAGCTTGTTCTTGATGACAGTGGCCCCATGATGCATTCGCCTGTCCCTCATGTCTGCACATTTGACAAACTTGTTGCCTTTTGTATCATAAGCAATTATTCTCCGAGTGTATCCTAAATGCAAAGATGGAGATAGAAGAGACAGATGCGAATTAGGATTAGTAGCTCAGTTCATACTGGTACATAATTGGGCAGAACTAAGATATCTAAGATGGGAAATAATGATCTGTCACAGAACTGCTCGCCTGTATACCTTCCTGTTTGTCTTCATCCTGTCTCCTATCACCTTGACAGCTAAGGCTCAATGAGCACTGGTGGCAGTCAACCTATTGAACACACTTGGAGCTTGCAGTTTTCCATATGCACTTTCAGACATCCTTAAGTATTTCCCTTTACCCAAAAGGCTTCTAGAGCTTCACTCAGAAATACGGAAACCAATGGTATGTAGGAAGCCAGAAGGGACAGGGGGAGCAACAATGCCTTTCTGGGTTGGAGTTGTAGCTGTAAACCAAACGGTGCTGTGTACATGATAGTGTGCTCTCTCTGCTGTTTACTCCATTCCTATACCCTCCGTGTCACTTCTGTGTTGTCCACCGTGCTGGCAGCCCAGTGGTTGGCTCTACCACCGAGGGGTAGTTCAACCTCACATCACTGAGAGGCAGGGGCTGGTATGGGTCATGAGCAATGGAGGTAAGAAGTTTGTTCCCCAGCAGTAGCTTGTCTGTGTATCTCTTGTCTATGTAGATAATCAAGAAAGCTCATGGCAAGCAAACTGCTTTGGGCCTTGTTGTGCAGGCCTTGAATCCACTTTCCCTAACCTGATATCATCAGCATCTGGGGTCAACACAGGCTCTTCAGATAAAAGGTGCATTGCAAAAGGTAGCAGTGGCCTCCTGTAGGGAAACACAGTGCTTTTGAGTCCTATGTTATACAGGTCCACTCCTCTGTTAATGCTTCTCTATGTCTCATTCTTTCTTAAATAATCTAACGTGCTTTCTCTTGCCAGATTCTAGTCAGGGAAGCTGCATTAAGGACTGTGGAGTGCTGAGCTTGGTCACTACCAATGAGGTGTGATCTGTCAAAGTGCCATGGACAGAGACGGATTCTTGTGTTGAATAAGGTGGAAGTTTCTCCTCTCCAGATGGCTCATGCCCCTCTCAGAGCATTTCTCCATTGCCTCCAGGAGGCAGCTGCAGGAACAATGGACCTCTCAACTCCAGCAATGAGCCCCTTAACCCACCCATCCCAACAAACTGCCCATGGCCATGTGGAAACCGTGCTCTTTGCCTTTCCAAGAAAAGCCTTCAGAGAGGAACAAGCTATGAGTAAGAGGAGGGGCAGAGCCCCATGCCTTTTTTCTTCCTCGCTTCCTCTACAGAGAAGCAACTCATAGGCTTTACCCCATTTTCCCCCACTTAAGTCCTGTTAAAAGAGTGAGAAGGTGCCTGTAAATAATTTGTCCCCACCACCTTCATGGCCCTGAAACCCCATGAGAGATGTGTATGGAGACTGGGCATAATCCACTTCTCCCTCACAAGTGCCACATGCTGTTGCAGCTCATACATGACTTTTGCTCCTGCAGCATGATAGCCATGCTCAGCATCAATGATTCTCATTGCTGACATAGCTGGCTGCCACTCTGATGATCCCTGGCCAGAGCAGTGTCATCCTGAGCAGGAAGCATGCAAAATCTTGCAGGATCTGTACATGTGCAGGCAGGAGGGTGGGTGAAAAAGAGCCCTTACCTCCCACGATAATAATCTGGTCTCCAATCACAACAGCTGGAGCACAGACGTTCTTCACCACTCTAGTCTCCATCCGAAACCACATATTCCTGGAGACATGGTAAACCTGACAAATAAATAAAGATGCACACACAGCTGTTTATGTTGCTTTTTGACTGGCAGTTGTAATTACAGAGAAATTTAAGGTTTTTATTTTGTCTTAATGAATACAATCCACGGGCTTGAACTGCTGGGAATTTTTTACCCACTCCTTTTTTCCTAGTAAGTCCCCTTGGAAAGCATTTGTGTTCCCCTGGATGGGCTGCTCAGCACGCACAATAAGGCAGAGAGTTTCTGTCCTGTGCAAGCTTCTTCACTGTAAGTTATTCTATGGCCACTAAGTTGCTGTAACTCCTGGCTAACATTCTCCCAAAACCCAGGTCACATCCCTTCATTTTCCAATTTTCTGTGTAGTTCTGCCTTCCTTCCCCATTTCCTGGGCAAGCCAACTGCAATTTCACCTAGCTCTGCTGGCAGCCTGTGTTTGCCCTGCTGCTATATTTGTGCTGGTGGCTGGTATGCACTCAGGTTGGCAAAGAGACTTGTTGATGGGACCTAGAGTGATATCTAAGTCATCAATTTATGTGAGAAAAAGAACTGCTGCCAGATGACGATCACTCAGTCATCTGTGTGTGGGTGACATAAACTTTTATGTCACGTCATCCGCTTCTCAGTATAGCAAATATCTTCAGGACATCTCCCCACGTTGATAATCATGTTTCCTTTGCCTTGATAATTAAGTAACATTATCATTATAAGTAAGTATTGCTCAAGTGCTGGCTGCTGTTTTGGCTCTTAGTGGTGCTTCTTAATTAAACTACCTAAACCAGTGAAAAACACTCAAGTGGAAAGTAACATTGCATCACTAAAGCATCAAATCAGATAAGGAAGGATTTAATGTCTTTCACCCTCCTAATATAGCTTAACTACCAAAAGCAGGCAGAGAGCCAGCAACATGTGGCAGACTTTTAACACAACTGTTTATGTGAAACAACTGTCAGTTTAAGCTCTGGTCTTTTGATGAGTGTGAGTCTAATTGCTCTAATGATCTCAAACTGGCATCTTTGCTGTCACTGCAAAGGAGCAGATGTGCAGCTGAGGCTCCAGCTTAGCTGCAGGCTGGCCAAGCAACAAGCACTGATTTGGGTGAATGGTTACAAACGTGGAGGTGGCCATGGGGTCAGTTATTGCCTGCCATAGCAGCATCCACAGGAGCTCCCAAGACTTCCATAGGAAATTCTCCTGTGACAGAGTCAGAACCAGAGGAAGGGCCTCAGGCCTTATGTCTGAAAAATATTCCATGGGGAAAATGAAAGAACAACAATGCTCCTTAGACTCAAGACTTCCTTGAAGCAATGGTCAACTCGTCCTGCCTGCTGTTGCAACTCACAAGAAAGTTTTATTTTGGAATTGACTTCTTCGTCAACGTGATGATGAACCACAGACAAATTGAGGCAAAACTGCCTATGTCAAGGAGGACTGACTGTTACCTGGATAAGCCGGACAGGGTTTTGCATAATGTCTTCTCCCCCAAAAAGGTACACCCTCTGGTCTTTGGCAGCAACAGCAGGATGAAGGACAGCAACAGGCATGTTTGCCATGCTCTCACAGGTGTTGTAGATGCTGTCATATCTTTCCACAGAATTCAGGATTTCTTGGTTTTCACCAATTCCACCGAATGATAAAATATAATTTTTATATGCCAAGCTTCTGTGGGAATAACGTGGAACTAGCATAGGCTCAACCAACCTCCACTGATTGAGTTTGAGGGAGTAAATGTAAATATTATCGCTGACTGGACTTTTCTTGTTGCTAACAGGCATCCCTCCAAGCACATAAATATTACTGTGTAAGCTCACTGCAGATGCTTTGTACAGGCGCACAGGAAGTTTGGCCAGGCTTAGCCATTGATTAGTCTTGTCATCATAGAGCAGGACATCCCTTGTGGTCTGCTGGTTGTCCTTCCTGCCACCGATGATGATGAGGAACTCTTGGTTGGAGTATCTGCGAGGAACGTGTACCATTGGCTTGATGTCAGGTGCATTGGTGCTGTACAAGGAGAACATCTGTCTTCGAGCTGACTCGAGAATGCTCCTGCAAGTGGGTGAAGACTGAACAAGGGAGTCATTGGCAATGAAATGGAAGAGGAAAGTTGGATGGACGTACTGAAGCCGGACCTTCTTGAACAAGTCTTGGATGTAGCGCTGTCTTGCCTGCAGGTCATGCCGGATCCAGACCATGAGTGTCTCGAAGACCTGCTCCTCCTCCCCACAGAGCTCATCATCCCCAAGGTAATCGAGGAGCTCCAAAGGACAGAGATCCTTGAGGTCCTCAGAAGAGGCCACTTCAGGAAAACATTTCAAAGCCATAGTCTTGGCCTTCTTATTCAGGCTTTGGCAGTTCAAGATTTTTGCCAGTCTGATCATGCTTAGACAGTTGTCAGGAGTCAGCTTATCTTGGAGGTAGGCAGAGCAGGCCTCAAACAGCTTAGCGTACTGCAGCATGGATGCTGTCTCCAAGAGGTACAAGACATTCTCAGCAGATATGAGAATCTCCCCTGTGTAAATGTAAAGGATAATCTGGTCCAAAATTTCAGCATCAATACCCTTCAGGGTGACTTTAGCTTGGTGACTCTCTTTGAAGTTGTTACAGAACATCGCCTTGAAGTATGGGCTGCTGGCAGCCAGAACGTTTCTGTGGCAGGGGACTTCAAAGCCCCCAGAGCAGAGGGTAACATCAGTCAGCATCCTGCTCTGCCGCAGCGCATTCAGCTGCCTCAGCAGTTCGGAGGAGAAGTCCTGGTCTTTGAAGAGAAACTCCTCAGCAGATCTCTCCTCCATAGCAAAGAGAGAGATGAAGTCTGGACTTGGCAGAAAAAAACAAATTCTTAGCAGCTTTTATAGAAATATCCAGCTCCAAGGGAACAAATCAGGACTTTGATGTTGCTCTAAATATTCATTCGCTGTTAAGCATAAAAATGGAACATGGGTTAAGCACAGTGGGAAAGTAATAAAGAAGCTAAAAGGTCACAAAAACCCTTTAAAATTTTTATAAATTTATCAGATAGATTGCAGCTCCGGGGTCAGCATTGCCTGTGTCTCTGGCAAGAAGCAAAAGCACTGAAGTTATCTCACTGATTTGGGATGAAAGCTGAACAGCTGAAGCAGTGGGGAGGTTCGTTTTAATCATGTCGAATAAATGCGCTTGGACATTTATTCACTATTTTAAAGTATTAGCAGTTTAGTAACTTGCGTCTCTTTCCCCTAGAGTTAGTCATTCCCAAAGAATGTAAATCTGGCAGAGCTGAACTCTGCAGCAGGGCTAACTAAACCCTAGAGACTGGGAATCTGCATTAAAACAGTTATTTATTCACTCTGCTTAGCTGTGGTTTTTTTTATGTTAATCAGACACACAATGACTAAATTAAGTGCCAGGCAGAACAATCTGATGAGTATTTATTTCATGCCTAACCGCTTAATCTGCAGTGAAATCGTATGGTAGAAATGTTTACCTTCGGATGTCCTTCCCTGCATGCACTTACTCTCTGTCGCTTATTCTCTGCTGAGATTTTCCATAGCTAGAGCCTGGATAAAAACTATAAACCCACAGGACGTTTCTTTCAGTAGGTAAGTGATTCATAGAAGGTGATTTCTGGACGTGTTTATTCTGAAGTCACTTTTGCCGCTTTCAGGAGCTTTGTGCAGGAGCGCGAGGCGGTGGGGCATTGTATACATTCCAGCACTAAGAATAGGCACATATGGACTTCTCACAGTTATCACATGTGATACCGCCGTTGCCTTTTGCAATGACCTGGCTGGTACTGAGCATGCCCAAGTGGTGTTTTTCTGGCAAATGTTTACATATAATAAATAGACACAGGGAGGAAAGTTCACTTATAAAAGTCCTGGCTGTCTGTTTGGAAACAGCAACAGGACCCTGTCCTAAATTGCCTGGGAACTTGAGAAGCCTGTAAACAGTCTGCAGCCCCTTGCGCTAGGCGATGCACTGTCACGTATTTTTGTGGAGCAAGGAAAAAGCAGAGCCTGCAGGGAGCCCAGAGGGATGGACCATGTCTCCACCTGATGGAGAGGTTTTGGGAGCACCTGCTGTTGTGGTCTGCAGTGGTGGGCAGGAGATCCTGATGTGCTGGGACTCCCATGACCATGGCACCTAGAGTGGATAAGGAGAAATACAGGAATGTATTTTAAAATCTTAGAATCATTGAATCACCAAAGTTGGAAAAGACCTCCAAGATCATCCAGTCCAACCATGCACCTACCACCAATATTTCCCCACTAAATCAGGTCCCTCGGTACAATATCTAAATGTTTCTTGAACACCTCCAGAGATGGAGACTCCACCACCTCCATTGGCAGCCTGTTCCAGCACCTGACCACTCTTTTGGAGAAATTTCCTCTAATATCCAATCTGAACTTTGCCTGCTGTAACTTGAGGCCATTCTCTTTAGTCCTATCACTATTACCTGTGAGAAGAGTCTGACTCCCACCACAACATCCTTTCAGGGAGTTACAACTCCTCCAGACTGAACAATCCCAGTTATCTCAGCCACTCCTCATATGACTTGCGCTTCAGACTCTTTGATGTATCAAGGGGCATCATAAGGATTAAGTTCAACAAGACCAAGTGCCAAGTCCTGCACTTTGGTCACAACAAGCCAGTCAAAAATACCGGCTTGGGGCAGAGTGGCTGGAAGACTGTGTGGAGGAAATGGACCTGGTGGTGTTGATCAAAGTTCAGCTTAACATGAGCCAGCAATGTGCCCAGGGGGTCAAGAAGGCCAGTGGCATCCTGGCTTGTAGCAGAAATAAGTGCAGCCAGCAGGAGTAGGAAGGTGATCATCCCCCTGAACTCAGCTCTGGCAAGGCCACATCTTGAGTACTGTGTTCAGTTTTGGGCCCCTCACTATAAGAAAAACATTGAGGCATCATCTCAGCCAGCAGTGAGGTACTGACTGGAACAGTCTGCCCAGGGAGGTGGTGGAGTCTCAGTGCCTAGAGGTTTTCAATAAATGTGTAAATGTGGCACTGAGGGAGATGGTTTAGTGGGCACGTTAGTGATATGAGGTGATGGTTGGACCAGATGATCTTAGTTGTCTTTCCAGCCTTAATGATTCTATGATTCATACAAATAAATGCAGGTTATGGCTTTTTCTGCAAGAATTTAATCTCTCTGAAATCCCTAACAAAGAAACACAAGTGCTTTGAGTAAGGTGAGTGGAAACTGAAACAGCTTGCTGAAGTGAGGGTAGCAGGCTGGAAAAAATCACTGAGGTGGTCAGCCCTAGGCTCCTCATTGCAGACCCTCTAACTGCAGATGTCTGCAGGTGAACAGAGTGTCCGAGCTCCCCTAGCAGCTGGTGAACTCTGGTCAGTACAACCATAGAGTTATCCTGGTCACCAGGATATCTGTTTAGGGGTAGGTGAATGGTCCTCCAGGCACATCTGACTCAATCTTCATGGGCTGTGGTTGTTCACGTGTCCTGGTGATGTATAGGTGTCTTGTTGTACACTCTTCTGTACTCGCTGTATCACTCCCAGATATTTGAGATGCTCATCCTAAATTCATCCCCTGGGCTTGGATTAGTTGAGCACCACGTGCCCCAGAGGATCCTCTACAACCCCAGATGCCTACACAGAAGGGCTGGGACTCCAGCAGGTGTGATGTGTCCCAGACCTGTGCCAATATCATGGACATTTCAGGAAATACGGCTCTGGCTGCCCCAGGGTGATTGACGTGGGGTCCCTGGTCTGTGCTGAAGTTCTTGCCTTTGTTCTGATACGGGACTAAATCCAAAATGTTATTTCTAAGTGCTGCTACTACAGGGAATAACAAGGTTAAAGCAGAACTCCTTCTTCATGTTCTCGAAGTCAAGGCTTGCTGGTGGGTCATGGCTGTGTCTGATCACAGTGGATCAGATAGGTGAACATGCTGGGAGCTGCAGTGCCCTTGTATCAACCACCATGCACAGTTTGCCTCCTCAGACCTCCATGCACTGCTGTCCCAGCAAGCTGCAGGGACAGAGGGGCTGGTCCTCTAAAAACAGCGGCTTTCGTCTCAGGCTATGCTATACACATCCTTTCCCAGAGGGTTCATCAAGGAGCCTACTGATGGCCCAGTGGGGCCAAAGGCCTGTTGAGCCCCAAAGGCTGTTGAGCCCAGAAGACTCTGTGTCCGCATCAGGCTGGAGTAGAGGCTGCAGCATCTCTTTCAGTGTGATCCATCTGGTGAGGTGAGGGAGGAGAAGAGAAGGAGCATGGGGTTGCCTTGATGGGTCACTGTCAGGCACCGTGCATCCTCTTCCTTCTCCTTGAGCAGAGGCTGAGCTGGAGACAGTGCTGGGCAGAACACGCCCTCCCATCCTTGCTTGCTGTCATTGCTGCCTCCCCAGCTGGCCAGGATCACGCTGTAAATATTTAGAGTGGCATTAAGAAAGAAAAAGGAGAATTTCTCCTTCCTCATCCAGAGAACATTAGCTACCCAAACAAAACACCCTCTCTCTTTCTTTCTCTCTCTGTATGCATACGCTCTCATTGCAGCCCGTTTCGACGATGGATGCAGCTTTTTCTTCTGGCTCAGGCTCTTTGCTGCCTGCTTAGTTCTGCCTTTTCTTGGCAGAGACTGTGGATTATTTTTTAACCCTAAAAGAAACAAACAATGCTCTCTGACTTCACTGCTGACACTGCTTTATGGGGTCGAGGAAGGGTAGGTGGCATGTTCATGTATTTTAGACACAGATAAATGTGGCATTTATTTAGAAGATCCCAGGCTTGAGAGTTTTGCTGGGTTATGCAAACTCCTGCTAGCGTGAAGTACATCGTGTGCTGTTTAACAAGCTTACTGCTCTCGGGGGGGGGGCTGCTCCCCGCTCAGTCCCCATGCACGTCCCTGCCAACTTGGGGCCGAGGCTCCCCAGCTGCCTGCTGCACAGCTCTCCTCTTTCCTTCCCAGAACTTATGGTTTCCTTCAATCAAATGGAGATACTTAGCTAAGATTTCCTTTATAAATAAACTAAATGTTATTTTTCACGGCATATCCTATAATGGCTGGCCCTGTATGGATCCTGCTGCTGCAGCATACTTCAGAATTTAGTGTATTTTTCCTCATTACCTCTGGCAAGAGAGAGAAGAGCCTTTTCTTCTGTGAGTCTGTGTAACTTGTTTAAGAACGCCTGCTTCTGAGTGAATCTTTGAGGCGGGTTCCTTGAGTGAGCATGCTGGTCACTGAGCCAGGTCCACAAAGCTTCAGTGGTCCTTGTTTTGGGTGATGGGATATTGCATTAACCACAGAGCAAGATATTGCATGGATAATGGAGAGCAGTCTGAACACTGTGTGCAAATGGAGAAGTGGGCTTGTTTGCAGGTTGTTTCACCTATTGGCATTGTGAAACGCAGTGCTGCGTCCCCCATGCCCCTGATGGAGGTTGGAGCCACTGGGAGATGATAAAAACACGAAACCTCAACAGCCTCTGGCTTATGAGTGGGCAATTTCCAGAACATGGAAATGTCTAGCAAGGAATGAGCACTCTACTGCTTTTGAACATTCACCCTGTTTCTTCTGCTCTCTCTCAAGTGTTTAGAATTGCTCTATTTTGGGATTAGGACGGCTGAATCTTTGATCTGACCCAGAGCACATCTTCTTATGTTTTAGTGTAATGGGATGATGAAATGCCTATTATCATGCACTAAGCAGCAGAGTGGAAAAAAGCTGTAATCTAATCAGCCAGCAGGCAGGTGCACAGAGAGGACTGGTGATGTCAGACAACTTCTAAAACCCATATGCTGATCCTATTACCATTCAGGTGAAAATGAACAAATCTGGATACAGAGAAAGGA